GCATTTCATCTATAAATATTTAAGCATCGAGATGAACCCTTGGTGCGGTGGTTAAGATGGCACTTGGACCTAGCGTGGTAGCCTAGTGGCTAAAGTCCTTACCTTGCATTCACCAGGATCCCATATGCACACCGGTTCTAGTCCTGGTGGTCCCACTTCCCATCCAGCTCCCTGCTTGTGGAAAACAGTAGAGGATTGCCCAAAGCCTTGGGACTCTGCACCTGTGTGGGAGACCTGGAAGAAGTTCTTGGTTTTGGATTGGCTCAGCTCCAAGTGTTGTGGCCACTTGGGGGTAAATCAGCAGATGGAAGATCTTCCTCTCTGACTCTTCTCCTCTCTGTATATCTTACTTTCCAATGAAAATAAATAAAATATTAAAAAAAAAGATGGTACTTGGGATGCCTTCCAAAGCAGAGTGCTTGGGTTCAAATCCCAGCTCTGCTGCTTATTCCAGTTTCCTGCTAACGTGCTCTCTGGGAGGCAGTGGGTGATGGCTGAAGTAGTTGAGTCCCCATTACCCTTGTACGAGGCCTTGACTGAGTTCCAAGCTCCTGGTTTCAGCCTGAATCAGTTCCTGCAGGCATCTGGAGAGAGAGAGGGAGGATAAGAGAGAGCGCCTTATTCTGCTGGTTTATTCCCCAGTAACTGTAACACCCGGGGTGGACCAAGCAGAAGCCAAGAGTTTGAAGCTCCATCTGGGTCTGCCACATCGGTGACAAGGGCTCAAGCATTTGCACTTTACCCGTCTTATGCTGCCTTCCCAGGTGCACTGCATGGAGCTGTATCACAAGAGGAACAGCTAAGACTTTGGATTGTCACTTACATGGGAGGCTAGCATTGCAAGTGGTGGCATAACACACTGCACCAGAGTGCCATACCCTAGATTCAGATCTTTAAAAAACAAGAGAAAAAAAAAAGGTGCATGTGTTCACGTACAATTTAGAAACAACCTTGTTTTCTCTAATAGTTTTGGGAACAAGAATCATTTGACTATTCCAAGGGTTATAAATGGTACAACATGGGAGGATCTCACCAGAAGTGAAGGGGTATAGGACCTTTGTTTTCTCATTTTAGGATCATAGCTCCCAAGCAGTCATTTCCCTGGCTTACTGATGACCATTACAGGGGCATGCAGAAACAAACACATACATTGAGAACCCTTGCTGAGGTCCCATCAGTCTCTGCTATCCTACCCAGTTCCACATGAATGATTTAGCAAGTCCTGGTGCATTCTCCCCATGTCATTTTCTGTCTTTAAAAATTGTATTTTTGGGGGGCCATTGTTGTGGCACAGTCAGTTAGGCAACCACCTACAATGTCAGCATCCCATATGGGCACTGGTTCATGTCCTGACTGCTTCATTTCTGATGTGGCTTCCTAGGACTGTGCCTAGGTAGGCAGTAGAAAATGATCCAAATGCCTGAAACCTTGCAATGCCTGTGGGAAACCCAAATGGAGTTCTAGACCCAGTCCTGGCCATTTATAAGCATCTTATCCTAAATTCCCAAGAATCAGTTTCTTTATAGCTTATTTCTATTGCCAGGAAACAAATTATCCAAAATATCATGACTTCAAAACCATTTTGTTTGTTCACGGTTCTACAGGCAGGACTTTGTGCAGCACTTCTCTGGTTTATTCACTGTAGCCTCAACTGGATGGGCCTGGACGACTGAGAGCTGGCTGGGCCTCTTAGGTCATCACTCAGGCTGAGTCAGCTTGTCTTAAGGACTAATGGAGGCCTCAGTCCCCAAGTCTGGGCTCTTGTGTTTACTACTCAGTAATCCTCTGTTTACATGATGTATGGCTTGCAAGAGCGAAAGCAGATACTTCCAGATTGCTGTAAATTTTAGAATGAAAGTCTGAGGCTGCCACTCCTGCCGAGGACCAATCAAAGACAGTCACAATCCAGATCAGGTGAAGAGGTGAGGGTACAAATACCCACTTCCTGATTTGCAGACATGGGTGCATTGTTGACAGCCATTTCTGAAGACACATTTCCATATTTTTAAGTGCTAATCAGACAAGCTAAACATAGATGCTGGAAGACTTCTCCACCTCCTCAGGAAGATATCCCAGTCTTAAGGTGCCTACTCCAAAGAGTAATTCTTTCCATTACTTTCTGCTTCTGAGTAGAAAAGAGGGCATTATGAATATCAAGGCGCAAGTAAAATAACTGAGGACTTTGCAATAAAATTCTAAAAGGACTATTTTCTGTTTCTTTTTCTTAACTAAGCTTTGAAACGCCAGAACTTTTAGTTTTCTTTCATGAATCAGTCAACAGTACTCCTTTATCTGCAGTTTTGCTTACAAGGGTTCAGTGACATGTATCCAAAAGTACGAAACAGAATCACAGGAATAAACAATTCCTAACTTTTGTGACCGCATAATTGCCACAACTTTTTTATTACTAATCTCTTTCTGTGTCCAGTTAAAAATTTTTTTATGAACAGGACAGAAACCAGCATACGCATCTCTGTATTTCCAGCATCTGTAGTTCAGGTATGGGGGTGAGGTGGGGCTTGAAACATATCCCCCATAGACAAGGGGGATTGGTCTACTTTGAGCATATTTAATATTTTGTTGACATTTTCAAATTACTTTTAACTGTCTGGATTCTACAACTAAGCAGAAATAGCTTTTTTTTTTTTTTTTGATGCTTTCCTCACCTGTCAAGGAAACTTTCTAAGACAGTATATTTCACTAACACTCTGTAAGTACTTAAGATGCTTAAGTGATTAAGGGGAGACTTAATCCCTACTATCTCTAGCAAGATTAGCTCTCTCACTTAAGATCACTTCTTGGGAATAATGTCATCCTTTGACTTGCTTGTAGCTTATACATGCTATCTAATAGTTCTATTCACTTTTAGTGCTATACCTGGAAGGCTGATGGCGTTGGCACACATTTCCCTTGGAATGTCTTACCAGTTTGTTCACAGTTGACAATCCCACATCAATTCACAGTGCTCATATACTGTTCCATCACATGATACAAAGAAACTTCACAGTGAATTCGAAGATTAAAAAAAAATTGCTAAAGATGTTCTATATACATATATATATAATATTTTATTTTAAAATGTCATTGAGCATATACATTTCTTTAGCTTTTTCCAGGGGACATTGCACCTAAGTTTCAAACACACAAAATAAATCCCCCTTTACTAAACAATTTTCCTTTTTGGGTTACAAAAGTCAATGTTTCACAATCACGGAGCATAAAGGTACAGGGTTCTGAAATCATTTCCAGTCAGATTCCTCTCATTCACTGTATGCAGGATGGTTTTGAAAACCCAAACCACAGAACATTCCTTACAACAAATGATCTCCACTCTGGGCCTCCCTGGGTCTCCAGAAGGAATAAAGAAAATCAGAGGCAAAACAGGAATCAGAGGAACCTTAGGATTCCCCAAATAAACACAAAATACTCATGGGAGGTCAGAAGAATGGAGGACACAAGGTTCTCTTTCTTCAAGTACATCACAGTAGAAAACAATAGCACAATTACAGCCTTTACAGATCACCTGTCTAGCTGGTCACTACATGAACAAAACCTCATTTAAAATACAGAGGAACAGATTAAAGCTATTTACACAGATAACACGGTGGATTCGAAAGAGCAGCACTCCAGATTGGCGCTCAGATCCCACAAAGAGCCATGACGCTTACATAAGAGGCAAGTCAAGCTGCTCATGTAGTGTCCCTTAAAAATCCCAGTGTACATTTGCCACATCACCAACACAAAAGCAGGGTTTGCTCAGAGAGGTGGGCTGTGGTATGCAGGCTGCAATCTTTCTTGGAGTTGCAAGTCCTCAGAAATCACTTGCTAACATCCAATTGTATGCTGCAGCCCGGGACCATCCACTACTCCTTTCTCAGATCTGGCAACCTGTCAGGTCACCCTTGTTATTCTTTGCATAGATGAGGATTCTCATTGCTTTTTGCCAAGAAGCCCAGAGTATTCACTTTCTGAAAATAGAATCTCATCAACACTTAACATAGTCACTATGAAAACACTGGAGCTACTGGATTACGTAAGGAAAGGTCAGATCCTCAAACCACTGGAGAGAAGACAATTGACCACTTGTAATGCTGTAAATAAAGTTGATCAATGGCCGAGGAAAGGGTTTTTTCTTAAGCAGCAGAATCCTGAAGATGTAGGATCTTTATCCCAAGTGTTTCCACTCTGCTGCTCATGAAAAAATCGGATTCCTATCAGTATATGGCAGCAGCTATACTTCAAGAGTGATGAATACTTGGGAAAAAAGGTGGGCAAAGTTAACTTCACCAAACCCCATGGGGATGAAGAGATTCTAAGAATAAAGAAGTAAACATTGCAAATCTCTAAAACTAAACTCTGGGGCAAGTCACTGGCTGGAATCTGCACTGGGTTAGGCTCTGTCCTCTGGGAGGATGGAGTCCTTGACCTAGCCTAATTTTTACCTGTCCCCCCCATCCCTCTCTGTGAAGAACTGCAAAACCTTAGGGCGGACTCTGCTTGTCTTATAACACTGTCCTCAGTTGTTAAAGGACAAAACTTTGATGGTTATCTAGCCAAACACTATAGAGGATTAATGGCCTATGAGCCCCCTCCCCCCGCCCCCCAGGTTAAGGAAGTGTTACCAAAAGTCTGAAAAGCAGGGGCCAGCCCAGCAAGATTTAGAAGTAAGAGCCTTTCATTAATGGAAATGGTCACCCCTACACAACTATAAAAACTTGACAAGGGAATAAAAAGTGTTTTATTAAAGATGATTTCCTCGGTGGCTCTTAGGGTCCGCGGATTTGGTTATTAAGTATGCAAGATTTCAGAACTGCATATAAATGTGTTCCACAGAAGTGTGTCGTGGTTTTGGGCCTTCCCAGGAAAGCTCCAAAGGCCACTCCATTGCAAGGACATAGTTACTGCTCTGGGTTGTGGTGACTTGGGTGAAAAAGAACACTCAAGCCTAGTAAGCTGAATTCACAGAGCAGTGTCATTTCTTGGGGATATTTGCTTGGGTCACTGACAAATAACTTTTTCACTTTAGATTTATTCATCTAATTTATAGTCTTCCTCCATCTTCCAAACATAAACCACAGTTCAGCATCTCATTAAAATCTTTTCACCCAAGGAGGCTTACGCAATACTGTCACTAAAATCAGCAGGACCAAATGCTCAAGATTTTAGGGTAATCTGAATCCAGGGTTTCCAGGGTTTTTCCTGAGACGTGCCTTGGCAGTAAATACACTAGTGAACTGGGTAGAAAGTTGTTATGACACCTATCAGTATGCAGTGTCTACACCCAAATTCTTACTCCAGTAACTTGAGTAAAACTAGAGAAACTCAGGGAACGTCTGGAGAAGGAGGTCCAGAAAAGCAAAGGGATAAAAGGTAATAAGGTGGTGGCTAGGGGTCTTTCACAGATTTTGTTTCCAATTTGCACATGACATTGAAAGTGACGGTAGGAGCACAAAATGGACCACACTACCATAGGACTGCTGGACAGCTGTCTATAGCATCATATACTTCCAGAGAAGCAAGTGAGTTACCATAAACTTTTGCCCCACAGAGATGCTCAAGAAATGACTAAGATTGATTAAAGGAGACAAGAATGCTGGCAGATACAGACGATGCCTGACAAAGTCAGAGTCCAATGCTTCCCAGACAGCAATTTAGCAAATAGCTGGTCAGGTGAACCACAGGACTTTACCTGCCACACAGGGCATTGTTGCCACACCATGGATTGAGTTTGTTCCCTAGCAGGAAGGTGCAGGCCTTCCATAAGACAGCAGCCACAACTCCAGGAATGCAGGTGCTCTACCATGCTGGGAATAGGAATCTGCTCCTAAACATTTGGGGAGATCATACCAGTGACCCTTTTAAAAACTGTTGGAAGAGCATTTTAATTCCATGGAGTTGTCTAAGTGGAGACAACTCCCAAGGGCTGCAGGACAAAGACTGCAAAGTTCCCCAGTGCGGTCTTACCATTGCGCTGTGAGAACATCGTAAGTGGATCCACAGTGGGAGTAGGGAGTCTCAGCTCTTGGGTAGACAGTACATGAGTCTCTAGAGAGAACCACAGCTTAATGAGAGCTAACCCAGGCAAAGTCATGTTCATTAAAGTACTGTGCTGAGTGGGCCTTGCACAAAGACAATGGGCAAAAGCAGAGCTGCATGGCAGAACTCTGATACAATGTGCATGGGCATGGTCACAGCCCACAGAACCTGAGTCCACAATGGTCTGCAAATGAGGTAAGGGGAATCCACAGACACAAAGAACTCCTGAACTTCTCTTTGAAAAATGCTTGCATGTGTGTTTGCATGTCACGGTGGGTGTGAGAGGGCCAACCACTGCAGACATGAACATCCAAGAAAAACTCAGGCCACACCAGAGAATTGTTGAAGACAACAGAGAACTGCTGGTCCAAAAAAATACCCACTGTTTCCTTGAAACACACTCATATGGTGAGAAAACTCAACTGAGGACCTTGTGTCAAATAACAAAGACACTCGATGTGTTCCAGACAGCTGCCTGGGTGGCTGGCGTGAGTGTGGGTACGCGGGGGCAACCCAGATTGGATTGGATTCGAATACAGAAATTCCTCAGCAAAGACTTGCAAAGCCCCAGTTCTGTTCCACAGAAAGGAAGAGAGAAAGACTGAAGGAATGTAAAAAAAAGGACAGACCTCCCTACCTCATTGCAGCATCACCACAAATGAGAAAGAAGAAGGGTGGGCATGGCAGGCAGCAATCTCGAAGATAAATCTCAGGCTTACTTAGGTGAGTGCTGACAACTTTTTGAAGCATGACTCCTGTGTGCCTACCTTTCCGATGCAGCACTTTTAACCCGTAGAGAAGCTGGACAGGCCAAGGAACCTCCTGCCAGTTACACCTGAAAATGGCTACCCAGGTTGCTAAATAAAATAAATAAGATGCATGTGTCCCAATTAGTCAGTGGCCACTTTGGAGGCCTGTAAAGGAACCAACAAAAATATAACCCTCAGGAGCAAACTTCGTGTTCGGTTCATGTCGAGTGTCCACACCTGTTGCTAAAGGAGAAATGGAAACCTAAGGGTCATCATAAAGCACAGCCAAAGGTCTTTCGGCGGCCACCTCCCAACCTGGGTACTGCTTGGAACTCAGCTGGGACATGTCCCAGTTCTGCTCTGTCAAGAGCCATCCCAGAATTCCTTTCCCTCTGTCCTCCCAGTCCCCTGGGCCATTTTCATGACAGCTTGTTTCCATGTATTAAAGGAATGACATATACGGAAATGTCGTCTCCTGAACCCAGTCGGTCATTAGATATTCGCCATCCTCTGTCTTTCAGGACACCTCGGGCACGCATTACCAGGTCCTGAGCTGCCAGCGTGTACCTGTATGGGGAGAGGCGGGGAGAAGAGTTAGTGCAACATCAGGTGGAAGCCAGGGTCAGGTGGGGCTGGAAAAGAGGTGACACCACTCTAGTTGCATGGACCGTTTTTGAATATTATCCAAGTGAAGAAAAACTGAGGTCATCTTTCCCCAAATCTGAGACTACTTTTAGGTAGTGAATGGAAAAATACTTGGAAGGAAAAACAGAAATAGCTTCCATCTGCTGGTTCACTCTCCAAGTAGCTACAGTGGCTGGAGTTGAGCTGATCTAGATGGAGCCAGGAGCCTCCTTTGGGTCTCCTGCACAGGTACAGAGTTCCAAGCCTTTGGGCCATTCTCCACTGCTTTCCCAGGCCAAAGGTAGGTGCTGGATGGGTAGTAGAGCAGCCAGTGGCCATATGGGATGTTGGTGCTCGCATATGAAGGACTGGCCAGTTGAGCCATTGTGTTGGTCCCAATTTAGTCTATTTTTGAGAGGCACAGTAAGAAGGGTCCTACTCTGCTGGACTCTCCAACATTGTCTATGCCTACATTGTTGGGAGATACTTCAATGGCAGCATGATGAACTTACAAATGTTCATGAAAGATACCTATTGTAAAAACAGGGGAAGCCAGTGGGGAGGGGAGGGAATTTGGGGAGGAGGATGGGAAATCCTAGTGCCTATTAAGCTGTGTCATAAAACAATTTAAAAAAAAAGAAGGTTCCCATTTATTGATTTTCTGAAGGCTCTCAATGGTGGGGGTTGTGGGACTAAATCCAGTCATCACACATGACTAGCAAAAAAAACTCCATTACTTGAATCCTTGTCTGCTGCCTCATAGGGCCTGCATTATGAGGGAACCAGAGATCTAACCCAGTACTCCAACAAGGGGATGCCTTAATTAGGCCAAACATCCATCATCTTTGCATGTTTTTGCTAACATCAAAGTCAGAGTTTTAGTTTGGTGCTTCTTTAAACAAAAATCTACTCAAAGCTTTCCATGACAAATGTTGTACAGTGAGAAAAGTCCAATGGAGCTGGTTAAAGTCGTCTTTGGAATGCCTACCTTTCCTGAGTGTGTGGTTCAAATCCAAGCTACTCTGTTTTTGATCCACCTTCATGCATGTGGATTCTAGGAAGCATTCAATGATGGCTCCCTGCTGCCCTTCTGGGAGACCTGCACCGAGTTTCAGACTTGGGCTTTAGGCTGGCCCATTGCAAAATGTTGTGGGAAACTGGGGGAGTGAATCAATGGGTGGAAAGTCTCTCTTTCAAATAAAATGAATATAAAAAGATTTTTAAAGTACTTATTTGGTAAGAAGGCACTTCAGGAGAAAGTCTTTTGTCAGGGTCTTTTTTTTCCCCCAATATCTTTATTTTCAGGGTTATATTCTCCTTGTGGCAAAAGAAACTTACTGCTTATTGTAGGAATAAATTTCCTTTTAAAAGGTGAGTTGCTTTAAAAAGAAAAACTATTAGTGTATGTATAGCAGTAGGAACATATCAAGAATACAGAGATTTTTTGAGAATAACTGAGAAACTTGGGGGTGGTCGAGCCATTCCACTGTTCTTACCAATGCCACTATCTCCTCTAGAACAATGTGTGTAGAGCAAGGGATTGGTACCTCAACATATGACAACAAAATTTCTCATTATGGTTTAATTTACAAATTTAGGGGAAGAGAATGATGCTATTCGAGCTACTGGAAGGTATTAACATTGGGAAAGACCAACTTGGTAGAGGATTTGGGTGGGAGTAAGCGTGGGTTATCCTTGAGGCATAAAAAAAATGAGACAGCATTGGCAGGTGTCCATCCAAATACTGACGAAACACAAACTCTTTGCTGACACTTATAAAAGCTTAGTTTCAGTGCAGTGTGGTGCGATGGATTACTTCTGGTCTATGCCAGCTGACATGATTTCCCTTTATTCTCATTTCATGTTCACCAAATACCCTTCTGATGGCCATCTGCCTCCTGTATAAGTCTGTTTGTAAGGCAGGAGTGAGTTGATAGTTGGTATTTAAAGAATGCCAGCCATGGATATTTCTCCAGATAAACCTTATCTTTTTTGGTTTACAGATCAAGGTTGTAAGCTTTGCTAAAGTGAGATCATCTCCAACCAACTATGAGAAGGAATCTCTCCCCAGATTTCAGTTACATTAGTTTCCAAGCCTGGCCAGCTAAGAATTGGACTGGTAAGTCACCAGCAAAATGAATGCCACCTTGAATGTTTCCTTTTAGCCAGTCTGAGGAGCTTTGACTGGGGACCACTCTGCTACTCCTGCCTGCCTTTCTTCCTTGAAACCTCCTTACCTTGACTTCCAAAGGATGAGTTACAGACTTCAGAACTCCAGAGGCCACTCCATGTCTTTGGCTAAAATCCCTTAGGAATTCGTAAAACCTCATACCAAAAGCTGCCCGCATGCAGCGTGGTGATTACATTCTTTAAGAAAAAGGGTGGGCGGCAGAAAATGCTCTCTACTGTAAAGATTCCAAGTTGTGGAGCCTCTGGGAATCACGTCAACTGCTACATGCCACATAGCAGACAGTAGAACACAAACTCCAGGGGGCAGAGGAGAGGGCAGCAGAGTGCATGAAAGTCAGTACCTTTCCCTCTGGAGGACAGCAGGAGGTGAGCAGGAGAGAGAACTGTCTGTTTTAAAAGAACTGTTGGGTGGTGGGTCTCCAGCCTGGAGGTTAGGGTGTTGACATTCTACACCGGAATAATAGCCAGTCCTCTCTGAGGGGTCTCTGTCTGAGACCAGGGACTAGCAAAGGGCCTCTAAAGCCACATTTAACTAAAATGTGGAACGAGGCAAAGGAGGATGAAAAATAATGTCAGAAAAAAGAAAAAAAAATCTATTAAAGAAAAGTCAAATCAAGTGTTGAAAAATTCAGACTTGGCTTATATTGCATTCAGAAGAGCCTCTTGTTAATTATCCCAGAGTATTCCCAATTTCATATTGAATTGTAGATCTGCAACAGAGCCTTACAGAGACAGGCTCCCAGCAATATCAGAGGATGTGTATTATCTAATTGATCAGGTTGTGGACTTGAAGTTTCATATTCAAAATACTGGCTGACTCAACTGATTCACCCAAGGATAACCACACCCAAACTCAGCATGTGAGCAGACTACGCATGAAGTTACAGCAAGCTGTGAGAAAATAGGGCTGACAATAAAAAATATCAAAGCAGGATTAGGCTTATTTGTCTAATCCTCACCATGCCTGTGCCAGGACCAGCTGCTCCACTTCCCATCCAGCTCCCTGCTTGTGGCATGAGAAAGTAATAGAGGATGGACCAAAGCCTTAGGCCCCTGTACCTGTGTGGGAGACCTGGAAGTAGCTCCTGGCTTCAGATTAGCTTAGCTCTGGACATTGTGGCCATCTGGGGAGTGAACCAGCAAATGGAAGATCTTTCTGTTTTTCCTTCTCTCTATAAATCTGACTTTTCTGTAAAAACGAATATATCTTAAAACACACAAGCTCTGTTGGCTCACTCACTAACATACAACCAACCTATGGCTATTTAGTCTCAAGGCAGATTGGCTCAACAGATCCTGGATTTGTAGGGAACGAGAGAGATCAGATCAAAGATGCAGGAGGGCAGGTGTTTGGTTAGTGGTGAAGAACCAAGGTTCTAGTCCCAGCTGACTCTGGAGTGCAGCTTCCCACTAACGAAGTCCCTGTGAGGCCACAGTGGTGTGTAGGTGGTTGAGTCTTTGCATTCATATGTGAGAGACCTGGACTGAGCTTTCACTCTCTGCAGACAGAACTAGTGTGGTGCTGTGTAGCCTTTGCTGGTGAAGGCAGCCACCAGGGGAGTGAACCAGCACATCATTCTGCCTCTCAAATACAAAAGCAGGTTAAATGACATCTCAGTGGTTTCACTGAAGGCATGGAAGGGCACCTCCCACGGTTAAAGGCAAGAGACTACCCTACTATGGCTATTGCTAGTGACTTTGGGTAATTTTTAAGTGATCCAAATTAGCTTTAGTATTTTAAAAAGCAAGCATGAGGTCACCTAGGAAAAATGACAGCCTCAAAAACTCATTTCCCTCATTTCCAGATCATTAAAGTTTTATTCTCAAATATGGCTGTCTTTTAGTCCTCTTTTGGACTTCCTTTGAGACTGTCTTCATCATCCATTCTGTCTTCCCGTAGGAGCTGAATTTCTTTGTAGAGACTGCTACTTTCTCAATTTCTGACGTGCCATTTTCATTGTTAGTTTCTTACATCAGTAGACCTGGCACCCTGCTCCTCTATCTTAAAGTTTGTTTCAAAGGCGGCTTTTCTATGTTCATTCTGCTTAATCATCTTTTTCTTTTTAGATTTACTTTATTTGAAAGGCAGAGGTCCAGAGAGGGAGGGAGAGACAGAGAGATCCTACTTATGCTGGTTTATTCCCCAAATGGATACAACAGCTGGGGCTGAGCTACGTGGAAGCCAAGAGCTTTATCTGGGCATCTCACCCATCGTTTGCTGTATTCCTAGGGCCATTAGGAGGGAGCAAGATTGGAAGTAGGGCAGTAGGACTTGAACTGGCACCCACGTAGGATGCTGATGCTGCAGATAGCAGCTTAATGTGCCATGCCACGACACCAGCCACTCAGTCTTTTAGCAGATATTTTGTTACCATTTTCTTTATCCTTGAAATTTCTCTATAAATTCACCTTTCTGTTTCTGGCTTCCAACATCACACACCCCAAGTTCTCATCCTGTATCTGGGTTTCCATGGCATATGTAACAGTCCAGTTATTTTCACATCCAAGGTAGGACAGCACTATCTATTTTAACAACATACTAGTCTGAGTCAAGAAATCATAATTTCTTTTCAGTATTACTTTCTCACTTCAGTATTATTCAATTATAAAACTCACAAGGTAGAGTAGGTATTCTAAATTCTGCACTAGGAATGTTTCATCAGTGATGCATGGCTAATTAAGATTTAATTTTATAGCCATTATGATGTAGCTTATTTTTGCTTATTGCAAAAACCGATATATCTGAACTTGTTTTTGCCATTTTAACTACATGAAAGTACTGGATTATAAGCAGAAGCGGGACTGATAGGAGATTGTGAACTTCCCAGGCAGTGGCTTAGTCTGTTATGCCACATTGTTCTAAAGTCACCATCAGTCGTTACATCATTTAAAATCTATACTTATGGAAATAAACCCATGGGCATAGTTACTATTTTTTTATTTACTTTTTTTTCAGTTCATTTGTTTTTCTTTTTCTCCTGAAGTACCTTCTTATCATCTTTTAAAACAGCAGTCTGTGAGGGATAAATTCACCTAGACTTTGGACTACTAAAATCTTTACTTATGCCTTTAATCTTGGATGACAGTCTTGTAGGTTGGAATTCGGGGTTGGCTGCTACCCTTCTCTGAGCGATTTGGAGCTATTGTACCACTCATTTCTGGCTTCCACTTCACTTGAGAATCTCTTTTATCATCCTTTCATAAGGAGATGTCTGTTCTCATTGGAAGCTTTTAACATTTTTGTTGTTTTGTTGTTGCTTGTATGAAGTTTCACTAAGACCTAACAATGAGATTGCCTTTTTATTTACAATGGTTAGAAATTAGTGCTACTCCTTCAGAGAAAATAGTTAATTCTGGAAAATTCCTAGCAATGAGCTTTTTGAATATTGCCTCCCCCCCTTTTTTTTTACATATTCTCCATAACTCTCATTAGATCTTCTCATTTTACCTTCCAGAATCCATTTTCTTTGTGTTATCTTTCGATCATGAATTCTTTCCTTAGCAGATTACTGTTTAATCCATTCAGGGAGCTACTTTATTTCACTAACAATGGTCAGTTCCCTGCTTCTTACCTTATGATTCTGTCTGCACAGGTTTAACTCTTCCCTCACCTGCCCTTCCACAGCCTGGCTTTGCTTAGGAGTTGGAGGAAGGTGCCATTGGACCCAGTGATCCTTTCTCAATGGTGGGTGTGTTGGTGATGAGCTTTTCTTCGGAGTTGCTTATTCGGTACTGAGTCATCTACCAAATTTACCTCACTGGGGACATGATGGGATTTTCTACAACATATCTGTACTTATTTTTGGGGAAAATGGTTCCCACATCCATGGGAGTAGGGTGCGGTTTAATGTCACACTTCTAAATGATGGGCCTGCCCAGCATTTACTCCTCACTGAGCCTCAAGCTGCATATTACCTTGTTCTCTGGAACCAAGTTCAAGGGGAATCCCTAAAACTCTTCTTCCTGTGCTAATCCCAGGAGCTCAGATTCCTTCTTATGATTTCTCTTTCCAGGCCTCTCTTCTGTGAGTGGTGCTCTTCCCTTCCCAGAGTGCTTGGAGTGGACAACCAAGGGGACTGATTGGACATGGCATTTGGTACACAACTGACACAAGGAATATCCTAGATACACCCCTCCTGCTCTGGTGGACTCAGCATGGAAGGAAGGTCAGCAACAGCTCAGGTCGGTGAGGTCACCTGCAGGGAGCTTCCTCCTAACAGATCAACTCAACTCCAGGGATACAACTCTGTTTAGCTCTAGCTCCCACAATGGATCAAGGCCTTGGTCACTGCATCACTCATCAGCATCCATATTTGGCAGCCAGCCTGCCCCAGGCATGACCCCATTTGCAAGGCTGCTTTATATGTGGACCAGTGCAAAAAAAAAAAAAAAAAAGCTGCTACTCCTCACACAGGACATGTTCTGCAGCGTCTTTCTTACAGGGACTTTCTGAGTGGGTGACAATGAAAGAAACTGCTAAAGGTGGCAGTCACAAAGAGGAGGTGGGTATCTACTGATGGGGTACAGAGACTGAACACAGGGCCCATGTGTGACACAGAGTGAGGGGTGTTGAGAAAATCTGAGTTAAACCATGAAAGACGCAGGAGAGCAGGGAAGAAGAATGGGGTGCAGACAGGGACTGTGAGGTGGTCTACTCCCCAGTTGGAGTGACGAGGCAGACTGGAAGCTGGTGATGGCAGGGGTAGGGCCATTGCTCAGTAACGCTGCGGAAGGGGTTGCTGGAGGAGGCTGAGGCCCCTTTCTGCATCTCATGGAGAATAGATTTCTTTTTCTGACTAAAGCTTTCCATATTGATCAGCAAAGCTCTGCTGAGAGGAAATGGCTGCTGGAGAGGGCCTGGCCTCTGAAAGACAGGGTTGAGTGGAGAAGGGACAGCAGGGGCAGCAAGGAAAGCCAAAAAAACAAGAGGGGTTGGAGAACTCGGGGAGGCCCAAAAGCTCTTTTCACCACTACTGACTCAAAAGTCAGAGCAGAAGGGGGACAATAAATCCTCAGCTGTCACTTGCATCCTGGCCGTTTCTGCAACAGTTCTGAGTTTTTTCAGTGGAGCATGAAAAGCTCAGGGCTCGCCTCGGACTGTCTGGCTCCCTCGGGACCAGATGGGCGGCTCTAAGACATTTCCTTAGCTTTTTGAAACTTCTCTTTTCTTACTTGAAATCATGAATAATAGTGTAGACCTCGAAGTCTCCTGCAAGTACTAAAGCAGATCTTTTTATTGATCTGTTTCAAAAATTTTAAAACTGGTATTAAGATAAGCCTATCTATCTCTGCATACATTTATTGTCTCTGGTAAGAAACATTCAACATCTTCTCCTATAGCTTTTACAAAGATATCCAGGGAACAGGTATTGTAGTAGTTGAGATGCTGCTTGGAACACACATATCCCATATCCAAGTAATGTGTATCTGAGAGGCATCAGGTGGTGGCTCACGTCACTGGGTCCCTGCCACCCACGTAAGACATTGGGATTGAGTTCCACACTCCTGACTTCAGTCCAGCCCAGCCCAGTCCAGCCCTGGCTGTTGAGGTCATTCAGACAATGAGCCAACAAACAGAACATCTTTGTTGTCTGTCTTTGAACTAAAATGAAATACCATAGAGTAGATAATTTCTGTTACCTGTAGTTACCCTATCATGCACCAGAATACCCTAACTTTTTACTTCTATTTAACCATAATTTAATATTTGTGTATCAGCCTTCCCCCAATTCTCTCACTCCCTAGTCTCCAGGGTTCCTGGTAACCTTTATTTTACTCTCACATTCCATGAACTAAATGAGATTCTTCCATTAAGACATTCAGTATGCTGCCTGCCACATGTCAGAGGTCAGCAGGCATCAGCCACCATTTTTCTGGTTAGGCATAAAAATGCCTTTCTCCTCCCAAAGGCTTTTTGCCTAGAGCCATCTACGTGGGGCAGAATTTATCTTCCACAGGACTACATAACACTGGAGTATCAGAAGGAAGTCAGATCCAGGCTGCAGGCTATAACCTGGCTTGGAGTCTTCAATGGTTTCAGTTGGGTGGGAACTAATGTTTGCCATTTGGATGGCACAGACAGGGTCTTGTAAGAGGGGAGGGTACATGGCAGGATCTGGGGAATTAATGGCTTCCAAATATTTGCATATAAAAGGCAGCCTCCATCTGCCCATAGCCCACAGTAATCCAGTGTGATGGGAACTGGAGGAGGAACTCTGCATTCTGAGCAGGACGTGGTGATTTAAGATGTAGAAAAGCTTTGGAACGTTGGCAGGGATCTATGCTTTTGGGTGGGTCAAGGGTAGGAGTGGCTTGGAGGTCGCCTTTGTTGTGCTCCCAAAGGGGCAGCTTGCCTGAGGGCTGGCCCATATCCGTCCCTCGCACAGCTCCGAACCAGGTCCAGAAGCCGGGAAAGCTGCTCACTGCAGCTTATAACCCCACCCGAGGGTACAAACGCTTCACCTAGGCAGGGTACCTCTAGGCCCAGAACAGTGACAGCTGCTGAATGAGACACTGGATTCAGTGGGAGTTTGCAAGCTGGCAAGTTCAAGGCAACCGACTGGAGAGGGTTCCTACCCCTTTGGAAAGGATGTGACAGCCAGCCCCTGCCCCACAGCCAGGCTTCTTCCAACTCTGCACACTGGCACGGACTCCCTGGTTTCTTAGGTGGTGGGTATTTATTTCAGACTCAATCCTGAACAACATTTCAATAGGAGGGGACATAATAGACCATTTCCTTCTCAGTCCTCCTTGGCAAAGCTCTTTAACATGCCCTGATGTGGCCACACAGCTCTGCTCCAACACAGCCGCATCAATAGCATGGAGTACAGAAAGGCCGGCCTGGCCGCTGTATGCTGGTCAGAGCCTGCTGCAGCCAGCATCTCGGGCTTTCTTCCAAATTCCCACGGATCTGAATATGCTAAACAGTGCAGAGCAACAAAAAGGCAGATTTTTATCTATCTTCAAACACCAGATCAAATACTCACGAATTTCCTCTTAAAAACTTAATTGATACACCGCAGCTTGAAGGGGCTGGGGAAGAGAATCCTTCCTTTTTGCACTTGAGGAATAGTTTTTGAAAACCATATGATACTGCTGAAATTAGTTCCCAGAACTCATGGAAAGATTTCATAAAAAGAACCATTGTTTTTGGCCAAAATAAAATTTCCTATTATCTAGACAATACAATCCAGCACTTGATACCTGCATTCAATGCCTGCTGCCTGCAGGGTGGGTATTAGGGTCCTCACCTTGCACTGATTAACTCTTTCTTTCACAAGGAACCCAGGTCTCTGAACCATCAGAACACAAATGTGAAGAGCTACAATAAAAGTGTGAGCTTCAAGATGATGGCTCTCATTAGACACACAGTCTGTGGGGACAATGGTGTCTTAGACTTGACCCACTCCAAGCAAGTCCCTTGAGTGTCATGGTATGAGGGTGGAGGGCCCCTGGGTACTAGGTACAAAACTGAAGCTGCCACAGATATGTTATAAAAAATGAAGGACTGGGGTGAAACTTGGCCCAGTTATGCCTGGGCATCTGGAATGTGAATCCACACAAAGTTTTCACGTTTGGTTGACTGTTTTCTGGCCCCAGTTCTTCTTGACTTTGTCTTCCCCCCCTTGCCCTTTTAGTAAGCTAATATTAACAATTTATTCCTTTCTGACAAAGTATTAAGCATCCTCTTTGAGTGTTTACATACTTGCCTCTGTTTTGTGTATTTTTCCCAGGAGACCCAACCCGAAACCCTTAGACCTACAGAGGGGATAATCAATTGCAGAGATTCTGCCTCAGTAACCCTTGCTTCTCTGCACTGTGCAGGAGCCTTTGGTCCCCAGAGAGAATATGCCAGGACTTAAAGGGAACTGGGGGACTCTGCAGCCCAAGCTTGCCGACCTCCAGCAACCCCACCCTAGAAGGTTAACTCGGGGTGTTTCCCATGAACAGTTTAGTTCATGACCCCACAGAGTCACAGAACCACCAGCTTGGCTGCACTGGAGGGCAAACTCCAGTAAAAAGAAAAGAAAGAAAAACCCTTCCTGCACTCATGTGCTGGCTCATCCACAAAGCTGCTTTTTAATTTTCTGGTTCCTTTGTTGAGACAGTTCAAAAGAGCCAAGGGACTTAATAAGATTCACTGGGGTCAAGAGGACTCCACAGCTCACTTCTGCCCCCACGGCTGCCTGGAAGGATGGTATGAGGGTCAGAGTTTGGCAAACATCTCTCTGCTAATCACCTCTTCCCTCAGAAGCATCTGGAGGGAGATGCCATGTCCTTCCAGGCACACAAATGCTGCCAGCTGGTTGAGAATGCCTGTCGGTGGGAGGCAAGAGGAAGATGAAAAGACAAGACCTACGTACAACATAAACAAGAGCCCAGCCATCAAAGGGCGAAACCCTTACGGCTCACCCTTCCCAAGACCAGAGCCTCTGACCTGCTTTCCTGCTAAACAAAACTGAGGAGTATCATGAAACTCACAGAAAAGCAGGCCCACAAAAACCTTCTAATGTCAAAACTTGTTCCTCTTCTTAACTTTGTTCCCTGCAGGCCAACCACCCTGAAGTCCTTCCAGAGTCTGTCTTATTTAAAAAGTACTTGTTTACACACACACACACACACACACACACATATATATATATATAGAAAGGCAGAGAGACAGATGGAGAGAGATCCTCTAACCCCTGAATTGTTCCCCAAATTCCTACAATAGCCAGGGCTAAGCCAGACCAAAGCAAGAGCCTGGAATTTTATCTGGGCCTCCCATGTGGGTAGTTGGGGCTTGAGCACTGCAGCCATCATTTGCTACCATCCAAAGGTGTGTGTGTGTGAGCTGGAAGCTGCTTCAGAAGCCAAGTCCCAAACCAGGCACTCCCATCTGGGATGTGTACAACTCAGTCACACACCCCCAACCCTTCTTTCTCATTTTGAAAGAAACAACAGGCTGCCTGGGGCTTGGACCTGTAACTCCATGCCCCCACAGCCATGTCACAAAAGGTGAATCTGTAGTTGGCAACTACATTTGAAGAGAAATGAATTCTGGTTACCCACGGGTGAAAGCCTCTTAGAGAAGTTATGACATGGGCTCAGGCTTATCAGGGTAACTTCCGCTCCTGTTTGCATGTTGCAGCCTGAGACCAGAAGGGCTCCCCTGGCTGGGGGTAGGGGGTGGAGAGACACTTGCTCCTGTAGTTGAGCTGTGTCAACAGGTCTCCAAAGAGAACATGCTAAGCCCTGGCTAGGGGCGGGCACAGTGACCTCTGACCAAATGACACACACATCTGTGCACAGATGGCACACTTACAGAAGAGAGTAGTATTTAGTTGAGTTTGAAACAGTTTCTTTGTCCAGTGCAGTTTAAAGGACTGTGGAGCACATGGTGGGTGATGAGACCATCCCCATCTTAAATTGCTCGCCATCAGATTATTCAGAACATTCTAAGATTATGGGTCACAGTGAGCAGATGCCAGCAGTCCTGTCCCATGCACACAGATTTTCCTTAATACACAATGCCTTCCTATTCCCGAGCTCATGCGGACCCTACGGACCTCTCACATCCCATCAGCCAATACTACAGCCAGACCAATCCCATCAGCCAGTGACTTGGCTGGTTTCCTGGGATGTGCCACAGTCTTCCTCCCCAGTTCTGTCCCACCCCATACACTGTCTGCTTTATGCCTAGTTCCTCATGTTTACGCTGAGACACCCTTGCCATAGGCTATGCCCCTCTCTTGAATCATGCCCACTCTAGGCTTTAAACTTCAGGGTGGTAGACAGAGGTGTCTGTTTCTCCTCACAAGATATTCTCCTCCTGTATCCTAGTAGCCTTTGGCTCACAAAATAGGTTCGTAACAGGACTTTTTAATGAGTCAAACTGAGGGGGACGAATCAGGCAAAGAAAACCTTGATGCCTCGGTTCTGCCTTAGGACCTCAGCAGCCAAACAGGGTTTCTCTGATCTTCAGATGGTGAGCGTATCTCTTAGTATTTAACTGTGTGTCTCTTGCAAATTGTGCTTTTTGCTCATTCATCTATGTGACATAGGCCTCTTTCTCAGGCATTGGTTTGCCATCATCCCTGAAATGCATACTGGAAAATGCTTTTCTCTCCTGTCCTGTTTGTTCCAAGGGGATTCCTGCAGATTCTCTTAGGTGCCAGTAGCCTGCTCCGACCTGGCACTTGCATGCTGCCCACGGGTTACCACTCCTCAGCGGGAAGATCTGTTGCCATGGAGAGAGGGGCTGGGAAGCTAAACCAGGCCAGCTTGGAAGGATTTGGAAAAAAAAAAAAAAAGTTGGTTGTCTTTTAACTCCTAACTGGCAGCTGGCTTTGGAAAGCTTTATAAAAATAGTTCAGAGAAAATCAACATGAGAACATTGCTACCAAGGAGAATCTATAACAGATTAAATTTAAAAGCTTGAAATGGGGAAAAGCACAATCAAATTCTAATAAAGACTTTTTAATTACAGCACCTCCAATTCCTCTGCACCTGAGTGAAGCGCTAACAATTCTGAGAGGAGTGATACGGTCTGAGTTTAGTTTACTTCTGTTGTGGTGGTGAAACATAGGAAAAACGAGGCAAATTCAGACAGTTTTTGGAAAAATGGAATGAAAAGATTACTCGAATGCATAGAATTTTGCAATTTATGTTTATCCATAATATGGGTTTTTCCATAAACTTTCCAAAAACCTCTCATGTAACAACAGAAACAAACTCAGCCTGAAAGGGAAGGAAATTCTGATATATGCTTTAGCATGGAGAAACCCCAGATACAGGAAGGTGAAACAGACCAGCCAGTGAAGAACAATGTTGGGTGAAGTTTTCAACAGTGACCGGAAGAAACACAAAGCAGGATGACTGAGGGACTGGATGGAGGGAAAATGGGGTTATCCAAGTCATCCTCGAGGTGTTAGTCCAAGGAACATCTGACTTTGTGGTCAAGGGTATCTTTCTCCTGCCTCCCCCCCCCCCCGTCCTGGTCAAAGAAAATCACCACCTTATGCTTAACTCATTAAAAAGGCTTAAAATTCAGCCTTCAAAATAAAAATATTTATTTGAGAAACAGAGAGACACAGATGGACAGATTGGCTGGGATTGGGCCAGGCTGAATTCAAGAAACTGGAATTGCATCTTGGTTTCCCACATGGGTGACAAAAGCCCAAGCACCCGAGCCTTCTCAGACACACTGACTGAAGCTGGATTGGCAGCAGGGGAACAGGCAGTGGCGATACGGGATGTCTCCAGTAAAGGCTTAACGTGCTGTGCCAACGCCATCTCCTACTACCAATCTTCACTTCATACATCTGGACATTATTGCTATTTTATGCAGTCTACACATACACAGATATACCCACATACTTACTGATACCTTAGCCAAATAATCCATATTCTCCTCAGATCTTCCATGTGACACGCTTTCTTTTCTGAGCATATACTTTTGGAATTTTCTTTAGAGGAAGCTGGTTGGTAATCTTCAGAGGAGGCTGACTGCTTTGCCTCAACATTTCTTTATTTCAATTTATTGATAGTTTTGTTACAGATAAAGCTTCCAAATTGATAGTTATTTTTTCCTTGGCCAACTCAAGATACACTCCCACTATCTTTTGACTTTGGTTGCTTCTGAAAAATGAGGTGTCAGTGTAAATGTTTTGAGCATCATTTCTGTGTGTCTATTTTGCATTTCTAGTTGCTTTTAGGTTTTTTTTTTTAGGTATGGGAGGGGCAGATAAAGTTCTTCAGTTTCTTTATGATATACTTACTCATAATTTTGTTTCCACCTAGCTGAGGTTTGTTGAGCTTCTCAAACCTTAGGTTGAGTATTTTCAAATTACGCTGATTTTTAATTTTTCTATACTGTTGCCTTTAGAAATTTATTTGGAACATATGAAGTCAGCCTAATCTTTTTTTTAAAGATTTATTTATTTTTATTTGCAAGGCAGATATATAGAGAGGAGAGACAGAGAGGAAGATATTCTATCCATTAACTCACTGCCCAAGCAGCTGCAATGCTCAGAGCTATGCCAATCTGAAGCCAGGAGCCCAGAGCCTGGGTCTCCTATGCAGGTGCAGGGTCCCAAGGCTTTGGGTCATCCTTGACTGCTTTTCCAGGGCACAAGCAGGGAACTGGATGGGAAGTGGGGCTGCCGGCATTAGAAACAGTGCCCATATGGGATCCTGGTGCATGCAAGGTAAGGACTTTAGCCACTAGGTTTCCCATACCAGGCCCCAGCCAAATTTTTCATTCTCTTTTTACTTTTTCTCTTCTATCTCTTGGAGCCATATTCTGGATTACCTATTCAAATAAATTTTCAAGCTCTTTAATCATCTAATTCACTGAATTTTTAATTCTTAAGTTGATATTTTTCATTTGTAAAAGTTTCAGTTCCCTATTTAAAAATGTGCTTAGTTACTTTATGGCTTTTTGTCCTTGCTCATATTCTCATTGCTTTGAAAGTAGCTGTGGAAGCACATAAACACATCTTTATGTCTATTGAAAGTTTTGAGTCATTAAATCCAGTATTAAGGTAATTACGGTTTCAGTTTTGCTGTCTCTTATCCATTGTTCCTACTTGTTGCTACTCATGGGAAACTGTTTCTTTGGTTCCAGGTGAAGCATCCCTCCACCAGAGGTGATTTCTCATTATTTATGACTGTCTTCTAAGATTTTTAAGAATATTTAACTGCTCCCATACTAGAAAAGATACTTAAGTTTAGTCCTTCTGTCCTTTCCTAATCTTTCTAGAAAGAAACAATTCCCCAAAGGGTCAGAATAAATGCTGAGGTACATTTGTCATCACTCTGTCATCAGTAGGTTCAAAATTTGGATTATTCCTACTTTGAAGGATATGAAGTGAGATAGAGAAAGAAATGCTGCTGAAATATCTTACTAATCAAATTCTTTACTATCCGCACCTTGGTTCAACTAAAAAGGACAAGTACCCCTAATAAGATACATATATTCTTCTGCAGTTTGATTACTGAATCATGCATATCAGCTTCTACTATAAATAATGAATGAAGAAACATCTTTGGCGATTTCAGATAGGTCATGCCTGTCTCCTTGGAGGAACACTATAACCACAGCGATGCACTAACCTGTGAGGGTCATCTGGATCACAGTTAGGAAGAAACTGAGTGATTGCTTCTGCTACTTCTTCATTTGATAAGACGTCCCAGAGTCCATCGGTGGCTAAGATAAGCACATCATCTGCTCCATGCTCATATTTGGAGAGATCATAGACTCTTACCTGAAAAGAACAGGAGTACCACAGCATAAGAATCAACACAGGATTCTCCTTCATGAATTGTTATTTATTTATTTATTTGTTTTAAACTTGAGAGTCAGAAAAGCAAGATAGTGAGTGAGTGAAAGTATACTTCTTTCCCATCGTCTGGTTCATTTCCCAAATGTTCACAATTCCTGGGACTGAAGCCAGGAGCTAGGAACTCAATCCAGGTTTTCCACAGAGCGACAGGAATGGTTACTTGAGCCATCACCTCTGCATCCCAAACTCTGCATTAACAGGAAGCTAGGACAGGAACCAGAACGTGGTCCTAGATACTCAATTTGGAGTGTAGGTATCCCAACAGGTAGCTTAACTCCTAGGCCAAACATGTGCCTCTTAGGAACAGATGTTTGCTTCCTTTTCCTCTTTCCTAGCCAGTCTAGTGGTTTTCAGGTATGTACTATAAGGTACTTGATCATACCACAAGTATAGGGTACTCTCCCCTTGGTAACTTGCTTTATAGATACATAGGTCCAATAAACAACTGTGGATGAGCCTAAGAGATGGCCTTAATAGTAAACAAGAATATAGTTGAAAATGTGATGCTTGAGGTATGGTTGGAATGGTCTGGAAATTCATGCTTATGAGTGCATTCTTTAAAAAGTTCACAAGTAGCATGCATTCTGAAAAATTGTGCACCAATTTTGAAATGCCTTTGTACTAAAATGAACTTGCTTTTGAGTTCTATTTCCCACAAACTTTTTTTTTTTTATTTAATTTTGACAATCCTTACAAATTTAATTGGGGTAAAAAAGGGTCAAGGTCTAAAGGGGGATATAGAGGAAGAAGCCCCACCCAGTCTCCCGCCCACCCCAAGTCCCGGGTGTGGGGCGCGCTCCGAGATACTCGATCAAGTGGTTCCAATAGTTCACCATTCATGGGTCGTTGCCAGTCTCGCCACCCCAATCATGATGTGGTCATTGAAGAGTTCATTGATTGACACAGTCCCTTCTAGGGTCTCCGTTTGCCCAGTCTCTGCTGCCAACAGATGGCTGAGGTTGTTGCTTGATTTGTCCTGTCTTTCCCTGGTTAGGACTCCGAGTCCGGTGTCTCGAATGGGAAGATCCTCGAAGAAATTTTGAGGTATTCCCAGTCCAGATTCCTGCTGTTTTAGTAGCATAGGGCCCGTCACAGTCCACTGCCCCGGTCAGCTGGCGGCTGCAGTTGCTGGGCCGGTTCTGTCTCCACCCGTGTCCTCTTGCAGTCCCGCCTGGTTCCACCCTGGACGCATTTGTCCCTCGCACGTACCAGTAGGAGTTGCAGCCCAGTCAGGGGGCCCACAGTAGCCTCAACCAGGCCCACCTCCTACCCTGGCTTGCCGGTATATATGGCATACTAGCCCAGTCTGTCCCCAGTACCGTTCTGTTCATATTCTTGCCAACAGGTGTTGCCACCTACTTCCATCTAACTATCTCCTCCTACCGTCCCTAACGGATATTGTTGGGTGTCTGTCTAGCCACCCCAGCCCCTGTCCTAGTTCCCATGCCCTCTCGTGGGAGGTAATGACCCACGAGGGAGGAACCCACTATTTCCCTCCCACCCACAAACTTTTTGAAGCACCCTCTTACTTGTCTAGGACTAAGGAGACTGACTTTATTTAATGCAGTCACTTGAAACCCTGCCTGCCTTATTTATCTGGAGGCCCAAGGGGACAGACTCCTCTTGTGTGAGGCTGTGGTTCTGACACTGTATTGCCTCAAAACAGGCTAAGATAGAAAGCACTCATGCTCAGCCTGAATCTCTGGAGCAAGTGTTCGTCATGAGAAACCTTAAGTCCTTCCTCATATCTGGTACCTTTAGTGATGGATACTTCAACATCCACCTGCGCTCTTTAGAAGGAATGGGGCAGTCTTGGTAAGACTAGTGACCAGGTCATGACTCTGTTCAGCACTGTCTACACTGCCTCTTCTGCCGAGGACAAAGACAGATCCATTTCATCCATCTCCCTCAACTCTTTCTTTTCTGTTCTAAAAAGCACGCCCGCATGAAAGCAATACGTGTGGGTGGGGGAGAATGCAGTGTGAGCTACTGTGCATGTGCCCACGACACAGCTATTGCTTTCATCTTGGCTCTAGAGACACTACAACTGAAGAGGTGCTGGTTGTAGACCAATCACTTTTCCAGGCACCAGAGAGGCAGGGAACATAAGTGACAAAGTCTCATAGATTCTCAACCAGTACATGAGAGACACATAATTACAGCCCAGTGTTAGGAGGACTGGTTCTCTAGAGAAACATGGGATGCACCTAGCTATCTTGGCCATTACGGTGAACCTTCTCTCCACTGCTGCTTTGCAGAAGTGAACTCTGTCCTCTTCCTTCCCTCTGTCAGTAGAGCTTTCAGCAAACAGAAAAACACCCTGCACTGGACAGCAGGGACGAGTGTGGGGGTTGGAAAGAGCCCTGGCAAACATGACTGAATGAGCCAAGTGCTGAATGCTCTAACTGGCCTTTTGTGCTCCTTGAGACCTCCTTAATGTTATCACTGGGTACCTACTTTACACAGGAGCCAGTGAGAGTAACTCCTTCATACAGCACCTCCACTTAGCGCTCAGCCACAGGCTGCTGGTTCAGCGTTTGTCTAATACAGGCTCACATCTTTGCCCCATTACTGATGATAGTTCACTGGCATGTTAAGAGAGCTTATGCTACCATAAGCTGACGCTGGCTTCTTGGAGCTACTCTGAGAAAGAATCCATCAATTTTTACATTTGCTAAATCTCTGCTGTTTCTCTGAGATGCCCTCGCAGCTTTTACATCTTTATCAGCTCAGCAAATTTTCCAGGTAGGATGAGGAGTTCTTACAGAGTTCAGGCTTGGTTTTGCTGAGGAGAAAAGAACAAGATCTTTGTTCAGGCCTCTGGACCTTGCTCATGACTCAAGGCAAGCCAGTGACTCTCCTTGGCTCTCAACGAACTCATCTGAACTCATTTCTTTTTTTTACAAATTGAAGAAAAATGAAAACAAGAAAAAATAGATGAGACCTGGTCTAACTCACAAAGCTGTTAGGAAAATCAACTTAGGCAATCTGGAAAATAACTGCTGATTTGAATCTCGGGGCATTGCCATGGAGTATAGATTCGTGGGAAGAAGGAAAGGATTAAGAGTGGGCTCAGTGCATCGGTGTTTAATTACAAAATTCTAGAGATTTTCACGCAGGGACTCTCAGGAGTGTTCTTGGCAGAAAAGCCAAAGGTGGCTCCCAAGGTAAAGATGAAAGCTGCCAACAGGTGGCGGGAAACAAGGAGATGTTAACGTTTTGGCCCCCTCTCCTCTCTGTGGCCAACCCCAAGACTCAACTTTGATATTATATGTTGTAATCAGAATAATATGATAGTTGTAACCAGAATAAAATAAAACTCCAGCGTATTTCCCTTGTAGTACTTGTAAGCCAAGCAGGTTGCTTTAAGAGAGGCATTCTGACAGGCCACCAAGCCTGCAGCCAAATTCTCTGATTTTGTCCATGCTCATGATGCCATGAAGACAATAGTGGCTCTAGTAGCAAAACACTTGGGTCTAAGATGTTTCTTGGTAGTTGGGCAAGCCACTTTGTTCAATCCCAAGATCAAAACTTATGGATTTAAGGGGAACACTGACTCCTCAGATGACAAGTGTAAGGAAAGGAGGAGTTGGATACCCCATGCCTTTTGCAGAAGGAACTGCTGAGGTCAACACGAGGGGACGTGAGAGGGCACCGGTGTGTTTGGGCAACTTTGCCAAGACTGGTTTGACTGCTTGACTAGATTTCTATTTGGAAGTAGTCCTTTTCCAATCTTCAGTGTCTCCCTTTACCTCAGAAACAAAGGTTAGCACTAGGTAGCCGCTGAGAAGCTAATGGTTCTAACATTCTCCTCTTTCATCATAGGACGAGCTGGATCTGGATGTGATTGGCCACAAGACCTCACAGCTCTTGGCTGTAAATGAATCAAGTGATCTTTAACTACTGCAAATATAGTTCTGTTATGTTCATACCCTGTTAATGTTCATACCATGCAAAAGCAGCTGGCTGTTTTGGCTGCAAGTATAATTTATACTTGGGACATACCACAGATCTCCTTAAGGGTTTGTTTTTTTCCTTTGGAGTCTACAGACAAAATAAACAATGAACTATGAAAGGTAGACAGCTCAAAAAGTTTCAAAATCAGCTAAAATATTGGACAGTGTGAAGATAGCCTAGAGTTTCATCCAACGCCTGGCTGCTACAAGACTGCCAGGAAGAGGATCTCAGGGATTTGTGTTTTATGAAAATAAACGTCTCAATCTAATCAAGTGTCTGCTTCTCATCCAGTTTCTCCCTGATGCATGCTTTGAGCAGATAGTGGCTTGAATGCACAGGCCTTTGATACCCAAGTGGGAGACCCAGTTTCCTGGGTTTGGCCTGGGCCAGCCCAGTTGTTGCTGGCATTGGGAATGGGAACCAGTAGATGGAAGGTGTCTCTCTCCTTTCTCTCTCTACCTTTGAAATCAACAAAACAAAACAAATAGAGAGGCAATGTGTTGCTACTTTAGATAAAATGTCACCCAAAGGCCAGTGCAACTAACAGCCACATGCATGCACATTGTGGACTTTGAGTCAAGTCTTGACTTCAGATGACTTTAGCCCCAACAAGCAGAGGACAGTGACCATGTGACTGAGATCCCAACAGAGACCCATCCAGCTGAGCGCAGTCAACACACAGGACTGTGAAAGATGGCAACAGATTGATCTGCTAAGCCTGTACGTTTTAGGAGTAGGTTATTTTGTGGTCAACAAACACACAGACACTGTACTGGGATGTCATACTGCCAGACCCTCTCCCTCCAGGTTTGATAAAATGGGATATAGAACATTGAACTCTCGGGCATTTTATCTTTGATCTCTATTTTCTCATCGGTTGCAGTTGTAACCCTGGCTTGCAGTCTCCAGCAGGTAAGTACAAGGGAGACTGTTCCTTTGTGAAGCTGGGAGATCAGAGTGGAGAA